CTTGTCATAGTCTATGTTTTGTAACATCTCATTTACTGTCTTGAAATGAGATTCATATTGAGTAAAATGTCCCCATACACAGAATTTAAAAAATAGTGCCCTAACCAAAATATAAGAGAGAAATAAAGTAATTGACAACAAAATACTATGCTTTTCAATATGAATTTCTCGGAAGGACTACACTAGGAGACAGTGAACTAATCAGATCCTTATAGCTATAGGCAGGTCACAGTTACAAATGGGGACAGACATGGACGTGCCTTATTGATGACGTGTGCATTCTACTGATGACAGACACAGGTGTGCTATATGGGTGGTAACTGAAACACTACAACCAGCAATACCACTGGTGATATAATGTTTTCTTTTCTTTTTCCAGCTATGCCAAGCAGTGTGTGGGATCTTAGTTCCCAATCAGGGACTGAGTAAGGGCCATGGCAGTAAAAGCACCCAGCCCTAAGCACCAGACCACCAGGGAATTGCCATGCTTTTCATACTGATGAATACTTCTCGATAAAGTTCAAAACTATTTTCCCCTTGATTTACAATCTACTATGTGAAAACTACTTTACAATATTATCTAAAGGAGATTTATATTCTAGATTCAAAGCATTATAAATAGATCCATGGCCTGGAGAGGAAAGAAAAAACAGAAGAGGGCTGACGAATTGATACAAGCTTAAGAAACATTTTTTTTAAAAAGCAGTATGTGGATCTTGTCCAGATCCTGATTCAAATTTGCAAAAGACTTTGAGATGATCAGATAAATTTGAACACAGACCAACTATTAGAAAAGACTAAGGCACTACTGATAATGTGGTTATATATGTTTTTAAAAAGCCCTTATTTGTTAGCTACTTTGTGATATATTTAGGAGTGATACGTCACATTATTTGGGATTTGTTTTAAATAATCCAGCAATAAAAGAAATAAAGGTATACAGAGAAGGAAGGATAAATCAAATGTAGCAAAACAGTATAAAGCCTGAAATGGATCCAATATGATCCAAAGTTTCCATGTAAAAGATTAATTTATTAACACCTTGAGGTAATATACTTCTCAGAATCAATGAAATGCATGACCATAGCGACAGAGAAGAAGACCACCAGGTGAAACGAGATAAAAACAAGACCAAATGACACTGGCTAAATGAATGCAAATTTAAATGGGTGAGTCGTCACAGACACATGGAGAAACTAGGTGAGGATGTAAATGGAGTGAAGTGGAGCCATTAAAACTGATGAAAGCAGTTCAAAAGAGATACAAGCTGAAAAGAATAGAACAAATCAGAACTATTAATTCATAGCTATGCCAAATAGACAAAAGCCTTAAAAAAGCTTCTGACAGAAACTGATGTGCAACTTGCAAAATAGCAGTCTTAAGAACTCAGGAATATCCAGAATAATTTTGTATCTACCGATGGAGACAAATAATCAGTTTCAAGTTTTCAATAAATGAACAAATATAAGATTTATGATATCACTTTGCCGTTTAGTCGCCAAGTCCAACTCTTTGTGACCCTGTAGACTGTAGAACTTATAAACTACAAAACTGGTGACTTCCTTGGTGGTCCAGTGGTTAAGAATCTGCCTTGCAATGCAGGGGACTCAGGTTCAATCCCTGGTCAGGGAACTAAGATCTCACCTGCCGTGGACCAACTAAGCCTGTCTGCCGCAACAAAAACCCAGTGCAGTTGAAGTAAAATAATGATAATAAAAAGAATCAGTTAAAAAAAAATACACAAAACTGATAGATTTAATTATACTTTAAGATTTTTAACTCGTGGGGCTCAGAGGGGCCTCTTTTAATACTTTCCTCTCCTCCTTGCTCTCTGTACTCCGATCACACTGGTATCCCTACTTCCCTATCTCGGGTCTCAGCGCTGGTTGTTTCCCTGCCCAGAAGAGTCTCCCACCACACCCACATATCTACCTCCCTTACCTCTTGCAATCTTCTGCTCACACATAGTTCCTCACAGAAGCCAACCCTGAGCGCCCAACTCTGCCTCTACACCCTGGCACTCTGGATCCCCCTTATTCTGCTCTACTTATATATTTGTACATATGATACTTAGTATAATTTCCCCCCTCCCTCATGATCCAGGTCACTCATAGCTGGGTCATATCTACAATTTTTATTGCAGAGGAAGAAGGATGAATGGCTGGCTGGATGGGTGGGTGGAATGAAGGACAACCTAACTGTAGTATGTGGCATATATGGCATTTCAAGTCAATGAGGAAACAATGCCTCTTCAATAACTGGTGAGCACAAACTACAAACTACATGGTAGTTCAGCATATATTAAAATTGCAAACGTGACTTCTAAAACCATTAGAATCTTCTTCACCTTGGTAGAAAAGAAAACCTGAGTACCAACAGGCATTTGGTTGTAACAGATGCATCCTCCTGCCATCTCATGTTCTCAGGTCACCATCAGGTCCTTAGTTTTCTCTCTACAGCACAACCCAACCCAGGAAGGTGCCTGGTGGCAGGGAAGAGGGGCTGAAAAAGCCATTCTGCAGGAACCTCCAACAGAAATATTAAATGTGGTACACCAGACCCCCTCAGACATGACAGGGTAAGAATGCCCTCCAGACACATCAGTTCCTCTAGGAAGCATCCCCAAGAGCCCAGGAAGGATCTGTCACATGAAGAAATATCCCTTCTCCAAGGGCAGCGCTATCCAAGAGCAATATAGGAGCTACAGCACAACCACATATATAATTTCAAATTTCCTGGACTTCCCTCGTGGTCCCAGGCGTTAAGACTCCTTGCTTCCACTGCAGGAGACATGGGTTCCATCCCTGGTCAGGGAACTAAGATCCTGGACTCACACATGCCACACAGCAACACCAGGGGCAAAATAAATTCCACAGCAGCCATCTCCATAGTTTTTTAAAAGGTGAAATTAATTTTATGGGCCTCCCTAGTAGATTAGACGGTAAAGAATCTGCCTGCAATGCGGGAGACCCCAGTTGGATCCCTGGCTTGGGAAGATCCCCTGAACAGAGAAGCCTGGGGGACTACAGTCCATGGGGTCCCAAAGAGTCGGACAACACTGAGTGACTAACTTCACTTCTTCAACCCAACATATCTAAGATACTATCATTTCAACACATATGCAATGTTAAAAGGTTATCAAGAGTTTGGATTCTTCTCGCCCCCCCCCCCCCCCCAGTAATCTCTTTGATATCAGAGGTGTTTTGCACACCTACAGCACATTCAAAAGACGTTAAAAACACGGTTAAAGCGAAATGTAGTCTCAGCAAAATAATCACTTTGTGTCGGGAGCTTTCCCGGTGGCTCAGTTGTAAAGAACCTGCCTCCAATGCAGGACTCACAGGTTTGACCCCTGAGTAGGGAAGATTCCCTGGAGAAGGAAATGGTAACCCACTCCAGTACTCTTGCTGGGAGATCTCATGGAGAGAGGAGCCTGATGGGGTACAGTCCATGGGGTCGCAAGAGTCGGACGCGACTTAGCGACTGAACAACAACCTTGTGTCTGATGAAAAACAAGTTCTAGACTTCTTCATTCTTCAGTTAGATATTAATTAACAGGACGTAAGAATGTAGTTCTTCAGTAGCACTCGCCACAATTCACGCGCTCAGTTTTCGCCCGCAGCGGATTTGCCGCCGGAGTGGACAGCGCAGACAGCACCCGGCGCAAGGCGAGGCCGGGGACTCTGGGAGGTAGCTATAAACCGCAAGAACAGGGTACCGGACAACGAGGGAGGGAACGCCGCCCCACCCACAAGGAAGGCAAGCAGTTGGGAGGGGTGTCGCTTCCTCAGCGCGCCTCTCCACAACTCCTTAGGGAACCAGCCCCGCGACACCCAGGCCCACGCCAGGCCTGCGCCTGAGGTCCGAACGCCCGGGGAGGGGGTGCGGGGGGGCGGTCGCTCTCTTCCTGCCCTAGCACTTGGCCAGCCGGTCCACCTCACAGTCCGCGGGCAAGCCCAGGAACTCCTCCCGCGAGGGCCACATCTGCCACCGGCTGGGCGACGCGGCAGCAGCAAAGTTACCGGCAGTCGCGTCCAGCGACTAAAAGTGAGCGCGGAGCTTCCCCAGCAACGGAAAACGCCAAGGCAAGTCAGTGCGTCAGCAGGGAGTGCGTCACGGCGCGGCGCGCAGCCTGCCGGGAAGCGTAGTTTGGGGTCAGAATGCGACTCCAGTAGAACGGATGAACTTTGTCCTAGCGCGTTGACCTGCTCAGTTCTCCTCTAGCACGTTTTTTGTTTTTACACCAGTACCCATAAGCAAAACACAGTGTTTTTTCCATGCTTTTAAGCATTATATAAGTATCCTTATAACGTATTTGCTAGCTTATTTTGTAGTGTTTTTTTTTTAAATGATAAACAGTAATCCATTTATTTGTGTTCACTGCTGTTTGCTATCTATTGTAGAAACAGACCAGTACTCCAATTGGATATTATCATATGTGTCTCCTTGCACACCCATGGAGAGTTTCTCTAAGTAGCGGTTCACAAACTCTTTGCTGTAATAATCCTTTCACACTCTATAAATATTTTTTCCAGTTTCATTTGAGATATAATTGACATACTGCACTATAAATTTCGAGTGTACAACATAACGAGTTGACATACCTATATTGTGAAATGAGTGCTGCAGTAACTTTCCTTAACTTCAATCGTCTCTTAGAGATACAAAACAAAAAAACAAATGAGGTCTTCTCCTTGTGATGAGAACACTTAGGCTCTGCTCTCTTAACAACTTTCAAATATACCATACATCCGTGTTAGCTATGGTCATCATTACATCCTTGTACCCGCATACCCTCCTGAAAGGATGACGGCCTCACCCATCCAGGAGTTAATAGGAGTGATCTCTGTCTGTCTGTCTCTCTCTCACACACACACACATACACTCAGGAGGACTCTCAGAGTTAAGGACCTGGTCCTAGTAAGACTGAGAGGGAAGAGAAGTGAATTTGAATGTTAAGGAAGTTGTTTTCAGAAGAATTTATTTTTCAGGAACCAGAAGTCTGATCCAGGATAACCTGATCCTTAGGAGTTCATCCCGTGAAGAAATCTCTGATTCTCTCCCCAATTCTCTGTACTTTGCCAAGGATTTTCTGCCCACCACTCCGGATTTTATCCCACAGCCGGCCAAATATCCGCACACTCTGAATCTGTGAACCAGGAAAAAACAGTTGCTTTGGGGGATTGACTCAGCATTAAAACCAGACCCCTTGCCACTTGAACACTCTGATTCCTGGGCCACATCAGGAAGCTTGGAGCCCCAGGTTACATCCCATACAATGTTTGGAGTCTGTGGTTAAATCGCCACACCACAGACAGATAAGCAAACCAAGGTCCCTTAGGTGACAGGGGGCTTTCCAGGGTCACAAGCCCATCCCAACAAAGCTGGAAGAGAACCAGGGTTGAGGGGTCATGACTCGAATCAATGCCTCTCAAACTTCAGCATCGACAGAAACGCCTGGAGGCTTTGGGAAAATACAAAAGGCTGCCTGGCATCCAGGAATCTGATTCAGGTTTGAGTAGGCCTGTGAATCTACCTCTATATCAGTTCCCAGTTTGGGACCCCAGTAGGGAACCACTGCTCTAAGGGGCGCAGAGCCAGGACTGGAGACCTGGGGCTTGGTGGTGGGAGGGGCCAGGGTCGGAGGACCTTTTTCTGCCCTGGATGGGGCAGCGGGTCATTGGTCCATACGAAGTTCCACAACCCACCCCTCTAGCAGTCCTTGCAGAACAGAAGGGGCCACTTACATCATTACAGGTGATGTCGGAGTCACCCCTGCTCTGGTACAGGGTGACTGTCCCCACACACTGTTTCACCAGCTGGAAAAGAAGGCTTGAGGTCAAACTAGAAACCCCAGGCCATATCTCCCAGCCACACCCTACCTCACCCCAGGGACTGCAATTCTGTCCCAAAAGCCCCTGTTCAGCTCCCTGAGAAGCATTCTCCTGCTCCTCCGGCCCCCAGGCTCACCCCGTTCTCCCTGAAGTCACACTGCTCCAGGGGCTGCTGGCTCGTCCTGGGGCACACGGTCTCCTTCACCCTGAAGCTCACAGGCTTTCGAGCACTGGGGTCCTCCACCTGGTCAAAGATCAAAGTGGGGGGACTGGACTCGGGCTCATGTTTCCTTCTCTGATCTGTCTCCCTGCCCCCACCCAGACGGCAGCGTCTCCAGCCCCCTGCGTGTCCGGCCCGGGCTTGGTGCTGGGAGCCCAGGGGAGGGGACAGAGCCCGTCCCCGGCCTCACGGGCTCACAGAGAGCAGGAGCAGACCGCACAGCAGCGCTGAGGGCAGCGCCTCCCCGCAGAGGGGCTGAGGGAGGTCAGGGCCGCCTGCAGGGAGAGCGCTTGTACCTGGAATCTCCAGGCTGACAGAGGCCTCACTAGCAGGGAGACACCGCGGTGCAGAGGGGCTTCAGCAGGGACGTCCCCTCACAGAGCCTGTGACCCCTCCATCCCTGGAGCTCCCGGAAGTCCTGGGAGCCAGATGTGCAGGGCGCCTGATCCCACAGTAGAGATGCTAAGGCAGGAAGCCTGGGGCTGGGAGGGGACACAGATCTGGGAAGGTTTCCTGGAAGAGGTGGGAGCCACCTAGAGGGAGAAGTGCCTTCCTGACCGGAGGTACACCCTGAGTGAAGGGGGCGACAGTGTGGCCAAGGATGTCAGGAGACAGATCCCCTTCCCAGCCCCCTCCTCAACTCACATCCTGCTCTGGAGGCGGGTCTAGCTCCAGGAGGCGGTAGAGATTAGCTTCTGAGGACCGCTCATTGAACTGATCCACAGCACGAAGCACAGCTCTCCTGTAGATGTAGGTCTGAGCGCTGGCCGAGGGCAGCACTAGTCCCAGCAGCAGTAGCCACAGTGACCACCGTCCCAGGGAGAGGCTGGCCCTCTGGGTCTCCATGGTCCCCAAACTGCTTCCTCCCAGCCCCAGGGACCCTTCTTTTATGCTCAGCCTGAGCCCTGATGCAAAGGCTCAGCCAGGAGTCTTCCTGACCCGCCCCACCCCTGCCCTCCTCCCAGGGTGTGAGGTGGACTTGCCTCAGCCCCTGCTGTTGCTTCATGGGATTGCTGGGCAGTGGGCAGGGAGGCCCCTGAGCAAGGTGAAGAAATGGTTTCTCCATCTCCTGGACAATGTCTTGGCCACTGCTGGGGTCCATGGGAAGTGTCACAGGGAGGCTTGCTCAAGAAGATTGAGTCCTCCAGGAGAGGGAGGGACCACGCACTGTCTACATCTCCTCGGCTTCCCCTCTAATGTCTCTCAAGATTCAGGGTAAAGGAGTGTACTGCGCACTCAACCTTCAGCTCTCAGTACTGCCTAGGACCCAATAGGGCATCATTTAATGATGTCTGACAGCACTACTCACACCTTAAGACGTATACACACAGCTCGTCCCTAGGCAGACACCCCCCCACACCATCTTTTTCTCTGTGCCCAGGCCCAGGGAGTGAGTTCCATTTCTCCTCTCTCCTGGATTCCTCTTCATTCCTTTCCTCAGTCTACTAATGTCTTGTCCTCAGACCCCACAAAACATGGCCTATTGTCCTGGCCCCTCCCCAACAGAGCCTGAGGAAGTGTTACCTACACCAACTCCAACAATTCTTTGCTGGCTTACATCAAGCCCATCGCAGGCTGACCAGCCCTCCCTAGATCCAGAGGCCACACTCAAGCCTTGTCTTATCGCCACAGGTTCTGGGGACACTCTGTCCTCCTGAAATTGCCCCTGACCAATTGTCCCCTGTCCCTGCTCTCCTGGGTCCCCTCCTCCCTGCGTGTTCCTGCTGAGTCTCCTCCAAGGACTCTCCTCTTAGGAGACAGGGCTGGCTCAGGGGCATCCGGGCTGCTTCACCTCCCAGTCCTCAAATGTTCCTGGGACGGCCCTCCTGTAGAAACCAGTTCTCATGCACATCATCACTGCTCTGTGTCTCTGGGTTCAAGACTCCCAAGAACACCCTGGTTGTCTGCACCGGGCTGTTGGTGGGGGCTGTCACAGGAGCCCTGAGCTGGAAGCCTGGGAGCCCCACCTGCTCCTTCTTCCTCTGAGGACACTCCCCGACCTGCCGCCAACCCTGCCTAGTCCTACTCCTGTCTTCTCCCCTTTAAGGGAAGCCACAACCTCCAGTCTCCACGTTCCAGAAGCTGGAGAACACCGGTTTCTCCCTGACCACTGCCCACCCTCCGCAGTATTCCCTAGTGCTCCAACACACCGCCCATTTGACCATGTCACCCCCCGCCTCCAGAGCCCACACCACCCCCACCCGGCATCAGGGCCTAAACGGTTGCTGTTCTTACTTGTCATCACCCCACGCCTGTGGGCCTCAGGTGTCAGGCTGCCCTGTCCACCCCAACCCCTCAGGCCGCTCAGAGCCTCCAGCTTGTCTCCCATCTCTTCCCCGGATCCCTCTGCTTGCCCTGCTCTTCTTCCTTGGGAAGCCTTCAGGGATCTTCAGGCACAGAAGGCACCTCCTCCTCTTCTCTGACACAGTCTTCAGGACACCCCTTCTAGTCTGACCCAAAAGTGACTCCGTGTCCAGTCAAACCACCAACCAGAGTGGCCAGTGCTGGGGAATAGAGGGAGTGCAACTGGGAGAGATAACAAGGCAAAATGTTAGAGCCGACCAGAGGCCGTGAGGCAAATTCTAATCCAGTTTCCCTTGGGATGGCCACGGGACTGCAGTTTGGGGGTAGCTCTTGGCCACTGTTGGCCTCTGGGACTCGGATAATTATCTGGGACACCACAGAAGATGGCAGCTGGATAGATGGTGGTGGTTACACACTCAATCTTGGAGAAGGAAGGAGAGGTGGGCTTCCATGAAACTTGGTTTCCTTGTACAGGTTTGACCCTGGACTGTGGTCAAGTGGCCTCTTGGTCATGCTGAATCCTTTTCCCACATCAAAGGCATAAAGGGCCATGATTATATAGAGCATAGTTAGCAATACACTTAATGACTGGTGTCTGGTAACCGTCAAAAATCTCTCTGTGCTTTCCTGCCTCTGGGCCTTTCACTCTTACACTCTTCAGACTGAAGTCCTCTTCCCCCATCCATCCCTGATCCTTAGGAGGGTCCCACATCCGGGTTCTCAGGCTGCACTTCTTGTGATGCGAAGGGTGAACCTTCCATGCCTCCAGCATCCAGCTTTCCTGGCTTAGTCCTCACAGCCTATCGGAAGTGAGGTCTGCTCAGGAGAGACATCACAGTCCTCATCTTAGATTGTTTTCCCCCACCACCACACCTGGTCCTTGAGAAATCCACATGCACCATTTCCCAGGCAAACTCAGGTGTGAGCCCGGATCCTGCATCGCCCCCTCTTCTGCTCCTCCCAGCCAGCGTCATGTCCATGAGACACACGGGCATTGCACCTGCAGGCTTAGCCCTGAGAATCAACTGCGTCTCTGAGTGCTTCAAAGGTCAGAAGCCTGGCCCCTCATGGACTGGCAGCTCCATGAGAGCAGGAGCAGCATTCCCACCAGCACTGCACACACAGCGGGTCTCCTTAGGTCAGACTGGGTGTTGGAGGAGGGCAGGGGCGGGTGAAGGGCTCAGGAGAGAGCCGAGGGTGGAGACTGTGTCCTGGGCCTCCTGGGGCTGCTGCCTCCCGCGTGCCCTCCTGGAAGGAATAGGGGCCTCACCCTCCTCTATGTTCACAGGAGTGATCACACACACACATACACTCATGTACACACACATAGACACATAGACACACACACACACACACACACTCACGAGATATGGAATAGTTAAAGACTCCTTCTTAATAAGTGTGAGGAGAGGAGACAATGAAATTGAGGCCTGGAGGATATTCATATCACAAGAATTTATTTTTCAGATCCAGTAGCCTGAGGCAGAGCAAGAAAACCCTTAGGACTCTTCTCTGCCTTATGATGGAAATCTTCAAGCGCTGATTATCTGCAAACCCTTATCACGACGATGCGACATACTCGGGCTGCTTGTGGAGGTGCCCATGGTTGCTTTGTAATCCTGATGCTCTGGTGCTGTGAAACAGAAAGGAACACAGGTTGCTTGTTGGTACTGCATCACCATCAACCCAACATCCTTCCCTACCTGGACCTCCCATTTCCAGAGTCACACCAGGCTCCTCGGGCACCAGTTCACCTCTGGCTGTGATATTTGGAGCATGAGGTAGGATCCCCACACTCACAGATAGATGAGGAAACTGAGGGAAGACAAGGGCTTCCCAGAGTCACAAGCCCATCCCAGCAAAGCTGGAAGGAAGCATGAATTGAGAGTTTGTGACTCTCAAAACTTTAAGACAGTCAGAGTCCCTCAAAGTCCTGGGAAAAGACAAATGGCTGGACCCTGCCCTGGAGTCCAACTCAGGTGGTCTGAGTGGGGCTGAGAATCTGCCTTTCTGACAAGTTCTCTGGGTGGGGACCCCAGTAGAGCACCTCTGCTCTTAGGGACACACAGCCAGGACTGGAGACCTGGGGCTCGGGGAGGGAGGGGGCAGGGTAGGAGGGCCTTTCTCTGCCCTGGATGGGGCAGCGGGTCATTGGTCCAAAGGAAGTTCCACAACCCACTCCCACGGCAGTTCCCACTGTACAGAAGGGGACACTTACATTATTACAGGTGATGTCGAAGTTACCCCTGACCTGGTCCAGGGTGACTGTCCCCTCACACCGTTTCAGCAGCTGGAAAGGGAGGCTCAAGATCAAAGCGGAACCACCCACCCGCAGTCCATAACCTCCCAACCTCACACCAGGGGCTGGGAATCTTGCTGGAAGTGCCCTGTTCAGCCATCTGGAAAGCATCCTCCTTGCTCCCAGCCCCCAGGCTCACCCCATTCTCCTTGAATTCACACTGCTCCGGGGGCTGCTGGGTGGTCCTGGAACACACGGTCTCCTTCACCCTGAAGCTCACCCGCTTCGGGGTGTCTGGGTCTTCATCCTGGTCAAGGATCAGAGTGGGGAGACTGGGCTCGGGCTCAGGCTTCCCTCTCTGCTCTGTGTCCCTGCTCCCCTGCCTAGAGGGTCCCTTCCCCAGTCCCCTCCCTGACTCACATCCTGAGGAGGCTGGTCCAGCTCGAGAAGACGGTAAATATTAGGTTCTGAGGATTGCTCATTGAGCTGATCCACAGCACGAAGCACGGCCTCCCTGTAGCTGAGGGCCTGGGCGCTGGCCGAGGGCAGCACTAGTCCCAGGAGCAGTAGCCACAGTGCCCAGTGTCTCAGCGAAGGGCTGGCCCTCTGGGTCTCCATGATCCCCAATCTGCCTCCTCCCAGCCCGAGGTACCCTCCTTTTATGCTCAGCCTGGGCCTGATGCAAAGACTCAACGAGACCCACGTCATCCCTGCCCTCCTCCCAGGATGCAAGGTGTACTTTCCTCAGGCTTTGCTGTTGCTTCATGGGATTGCTGGGCAGTGGGCAGGGAGGCCCCTGTGCAAGGTGAAGAAATGGTTTCTCCATCTCCTGGACAATGTCTTGGCCACTGCTGGGGTCCATGGGAAGTGTTACAGGCAGGGTTGCTCATAGCGGTTGAGTCCTCCAGGAAAGGGAGGGACCAGGCACGGTCTACATCCCCTCTGCCTCCACAACATGGTCTCCTCAGGATTCGGGGTAAAGGAGTGTATTCAGGATTCAGCCTCCACCTTTTGGTGGAGACACTGCCTGGAACCCATTAGAGAGTCACTTAACATTTGAGGAGGGGATACAGTACCACATCTAAAGATGTCCACACCAGCCAGTCCCTCGGCAGACACAAGCCCCACACCATCCTTTTCTCAGTGCCCAGGCCTCAGACAGTGAGCTCCGTTGGTCCCCTCTCCTGGATTCCTCTGCATTGCTTTTCTCAGTCTAAAAATGTCCTGTCCCCAGAACCCACCAAACTTGGCCTATTGCTTTGGCTGCTTCTTATCTGGCCTGAGAAACGGTCATCTGCACACTTCTTTGCTCTGTTTCACACTCAGGCCATCGCAGGCTGGACAGCCCTCCCTACGTACAGGGGCCTCACTCAAGCCTCATCTTTATCTTCACAGGCTGTGGAGTCCGTCTGTCCTCCAAAAACTGATTCTCCCCTGTCGCTGCTCTCCTGGGTCCCGTCCTCCTCTGTGGGTTCTCCTGCTGAGTCTCCTCCAGGGAGTCTCCTCTTAGGAGGCGGGACTGGCTCAGGTGCATCTGGGCTGCTTTTCTTCCCAGTCCTCACATGTTCCAGGGGCTGTCCCTTCCCTTTTCAAGACACCAGTTCTCATGTACACACGTCACCGCTCTCTGTCTCTGGGTTCAAGACTCCCGTGTACACCCTGTTGTCCGCACTGGACTGTTGGCTGGGTGTTGCTACAGGAGCTCTGAGCTGGAAGCTTGGGGGCCCCACCTGCTCCTTCTTCCTGAGGACACTCCCCTGACCTCCCACCACCCTGCCCTGGTCGACCCCGTCTTCTCTCCTCTAACAGGGAGCTCGAATGCCCAAAGTCCTCCTCTGTGTTCCTGGCTCCCCACTGACCACTGTTCACCCTCCATACCATTGTCTAGGGGGCTCCTGCAAATCACTGATTTGGGCATTTCATCCGCATCCTTGAGCCAGGGGAATTAGGGTCTGGATGGTTGGATCTCTTTATTGTCCTCACTCCCCACCCTACAGGCCTCAGGTATCAGGTCCCAGGCCACCCCAATCACTCAGGCCCATCAGAGGCTCCAGCTTGTCTCCCATCTCTGCCCCTGATCCCTCTGCTTGCCCTGCTCTTCCTCCTTCAAAGGCTTCCCTGACATCTAAGAACACTCAGCATCTCCTCCTCTTGGCTCTCATAGCCCTCAGAAAGTTTCTTCTTATTTGACTGCATGTCCAGGCCTGTGGGTGAGACACCAGGCTTGAGGGTTGGCGCTGGGTGGTAGAGAGAGCACAGATGGGAGATATGAGCAGCCAAAATGTTAGAGGGGCTCAGAGAGCATGAAGCTAATTCTAATACAGCTTCCCTTGGGATGGCCACAGCACGAAGCGTGGCCTCCCTGTAGCTGAGGACCTGGGCGCTGGACGAGGGTAGCACTAGTCCCAGCAGCAATAGCCACAGTGACCACCGTCCCAGGGAGAGGCTGGCACTCTGGGTCTCCATGGTCCCCAATCTGCCTCCTCTCAGCCCGAGGGACCCTCCTTTTACACTTGGCCTGAGCCCTGATGCAAAGGTTCAACCAGGAGTCTTCCTGCCCTCCTCCCAGGGTGTGAGGTGGACTTGCCTCAGCCCCTGCTGTTGCTTCACGGGATTTCTGGGAAGTGGGCAGGGAGGCCCCTGGCCAAGGTGAAGAAATGTTTTCTCCATCTCCCTGACAACTTCTTGGTCTCTTCTGGACACACTGGGGAGTGTCACAGGCAGGTTTGCTCAAAATAGTTGAGTCCTTAGGAGAGGGAGGGAGTCAGAAATCTGTCTTACACCTGAACACTTGACAACAGTTTAAAGGACTTTGCATGTGTGAATGCTAAGTCACTTCAGCATGTCCAACTTGTTGTGACCCCATGGATTGTAGCCCACCAGGCTCTTCCGTCCATGGGAGTCTCCAGGCAAGAATACTGGAGTGGGTTGCTGTGCCCTTCTCTAGGAGATCTTCCCCATCCAGGGATCAAACCTATACATCTTACATCTCCTAAAATGGCAGGCGAGTTCTTTACCACAAGCTTCACGTGGGAAGCCCTTAAAGGAGTATATTCAATAATAAATGTCCAGCTCAAGGCTCTTAGCCAGTAGGCACTCAACAACTGTCATGAATGATTGACAGTATTGTCAGGTCTAGAGCCTAACTTCCCCCCAAGCCAGTACCGAGGCAGGCATCAAGGCCACACCGTCCTGTCCTCTGGGCTCAGTTCTCAGGCAGTCAGGAGCTCAGCTCCATCTGTCCCCTGTTCTGGATTCTTCTGATTACTTTCTCAGTCATATATTTCCTATGGCCAGATGCCTGAGCTGTTACTCTGGTACCTCCCCAACTAAGTATGAGGAGTGCATCTGTATCATGACCACAGTTCTTTGTTCTCTCTCACAGTGAAGGCAACCACAGGATGGACCGTCCTCACTAAATACTTAGGTTGGGTTAAAGCCTTTTCTTTACCCAGTTTCTAGGGAGCATGTTCCCAGCTCTTCCCTGACCACTGTCCACCCTCCACACCATTGTCTAGGGATCCTGCAAACCACTAATTTGACCATTTTGCCTGCTGCCTTGAGTCAGGGGCAACAGGGCTTGGAGCTTGATGCTCGGTATTGTCATTTCCCCTTGCCTGCAGGCCTCGAGTGTCAGGCTCCAACCCAAACACTCAGGCACCTTAGAGCCACCTGCTCGTCTCCCATCTCTTCCCCTGATCCCTCAGCTTGCCCTGACCTTCTTCCTTAGGAAGCCTTCACTGATGTCCAAGGAGATTCAGCACCTCTTCATCTTGGGTCCCACAGCCTTCAGGAAGTCTCTTTTGATTTGACCTCAAGTGACTTCCTGTCCTGTGCCCTCGTAGGGACACTTCACTGGGGTGGCCAGTGTGCAGGGCTTTGAGAACACAGCTGGCTGAGAGGATAATGGACCAAAGCAATAGACGGGCCACAGGCCAAGAAGGAAATTCTTGTACAACTTTCAGGAGGAATGATCATGTAGTTGTGAGTTCTGGGGTTGCTATTGGTCTCAGTCTTCCTATGGGACCCTTAGGGACTTGGCCAGGGCCCCTCGGAAGGTGGCAGCTGGGTGGATGGTTCTGGTTACACGTCAGCCTTGCAGAAGGAAGTAGAGGTGGGCCCCTGCGCAACCTGGTTTCACAGTCCAGGTATTGCCCCTGTGGCCTCTTGGTCAAACTGTATCCTTTTCCCAACTCAAATGAGGAAAAGGAGATGTTCACGGTAGAAAAGAATTGGCAATACACATGATTACTGGCTACTAGGTAAGCCTGAAACCCTCCTTGTGCCTTCTTGACTCTGAAACTTTATATTTGCTCACATTTCAGACTGAAGTCCCCTCTCCCATCTTTGCAAATCCTCAGGATCTCAAGGTGAGCCTCCTGGAAGACCACAACATTTGAGCAAGAAGTGAGCTGAGCCCATCCAGGCATCAGCTTCCAGAAGGATGGAGGAAATCAGTGCCCTTCACACGAGGCCCACACACTCTTTCCCCTTTTTCCTGGGTGCCTCTGTGTTCCCTCCCCACTGACTGGCTTGTCCTAGCAGAGGTATTCCATCTGCCCACGGGTGCATTGGGAGGGTAGAAACAGCCCTTCCAGCAGCTCCTCCCAGGTTTTGACATCTTGTATGTGCTTTGGGAAGTAAAGACACATGCTACTCAGTTATATCACCAACAGCGGACTCCAGCTGTGTGTTCAGGTGCCAACTCTCCTTACCTGCGGTTCTCATTGCCTCAGCAGCACAGGCAGGATGGGGCAGCACAGAGCATGGGAGGCATCAATACTCTGACAGGAATGTCTACTGATTTGAAGCTACCAAGAGCTTAAAATGGAAGTGAAAGTCATTCAGTCATGTCTGACTCTTTCCAACACTATGGACTGTATAGTCCATGGAATTCTCCAGGCAAGAATACTGGAGTGGGTAGCCTTTCCCTTCTTCAAGGGATCTTCCCAACCCAGGGATTGAACCCAGATCAACCACATTGCAGGTGGATTCTTTACCAGCTGAGCCACAAGAGAAGCCAAAGAATACTGCAGTGAGTAGCATATCCCCTCTCCAAAGGATCTTCCTGACCCAGGGATCGAACCGGGATCTCCTGCATTGCAGGAAGATTCTTTACCAGTTGAGCTTCCAGGGAAGCCACTAAGAGCTTAACAAGCAGCTAAAAAAAAAATCCTGACCATTGAACAATTGGCTCTGGCAAGCCTGTATTACTGACACAAACAGAACAGAGCCCTCAGTTTCCCTGTAGGGTTTCCTTCCACAGTGAGGAGTGATGTAGAGTGAGACACATGAGGTTCCTTTCAGTTCCATCAGTTCAATTGCTCAGTCATGTTCAACTCTTTGCAATCCCACGGACTGCAGAACGCCAGACTTTTCTGTCCATCAACAACTCCCAAAGCTTGCTCAAACTCATGTCCATTGAGTCGGTGATGACATCCAACCATCTCATCCTCTGTTGTCCCCTTCTCCTCCTGCCTTCCATCTTTCCCAGCATCAGAGTCTTTTCCAATGACTCAGTTCTTCATGTCAGGTGGCCAAAGTATTTGATCAGCTTCAGCATCAGTCCTTCCAATGAATATGCAGGACTGATTTTCTTTAGGATGGACTGGTTGGATCTTCTTGCAGTACAAGGGACTTTCAAGAGTCTTCCTCAACACCACAGTGCAAAAGCATCAACTCTTTGGGGCTCAGCTTTCTTTATGGTCCAATCTCAAATTTATACATAACTACTGGAAAAAGCATAGCTTTGACTAGACGGACCCTTGTCAGCAAAGTAATGTCTCTGCTTTTTAATATGCTGTCTAGGTTTGTCATAACATCTCTTCCAAGGAGCAAGCATCTTTTAATTTCATAGCTGCAGTCACCATCTGCAGTGATTTTGGAGCCCAAGAAAATAAAGTCTGTCTCCATTTCCATTATTTCCCCAGTTAGTTGCCAGGAAGTGATGGGACTGGATGCCATGATCTCTGTTTTTTAAATGTTGAGTTTTAAGCCAACTTTTTCACTCTCCTCTTTCACTTTCATCAAGAGGCTTTTTAGTTCCTCTTCACTTCCTGCCATAAGGGTGGTGTCATCTGCATATCTGAGGTTATTGATATTTCTCCCAGCAATCTTGATTCCAGCTTGTGCCTCATCCAACATTGAATCCAGCATTTCTCATGATGTACTATGCATATAAAGTTAAATAAACAGGGTGACAATATACATCCTTGATGCACTCCTTTCCCAATTTGGAACCAGTCCATCATTCCAAGTCCGGTCTTAACTGTTGCTTCTTGACCCGCATACAGATTTCTCAGGAGGCAGGTAGGGTCTGGTATTCCCATCTCTTTCAGAATTTTCCACAGTTTGTTGTGGTCCACACAGTCGAAGGCTTTGGCTTAATCAATAAAGCAGAAGTAAATGTTTTTCTGGAACTCTCCTGCTTTTTCTATGATCCAACGGATGTTGACAATTTGATCCTGGTTCCTCTGCCTTTTCTAAATCCAGCTTCAACATCTGGAAGTTCTAGGTTCACATACTGTTGAAGCCTCACTTGGAGAATTTTGAGAGTTACTTTACTAGCATGTGAGATGAGTGCAATTGTGTGGTAGTTTGAATATTCTTTGGCATTGCCTTTCTTTGGGATTGGAATAAAAACTGACCTTTTCCAGTCCTGAGGCCACTGCTGAGTTTTCCAAATTTTCTGGCATATTGAGTGCAGCATGTTAACATCATCATCTTTTAGGATTTGAAATAGCTCAACTGGATTTCTATCACCTCCACTAGCTTTGTTCATAGTGATGTTCCCTAAGGCCCACTTGACTTCACATTCCGAGATGTCTGGCTCTAGGTGAGTGATCATACCATCCTGATTATCTGGGTGATGAAGATCTTTTTTGTATAGTTCCTCTGTGTATTCTTGCCACCTCTTCTTAAAATCTTCTGCTTGTTAGGTCCATACCATTTCTGTCCTTTATGGTGCCCATCTTTGCATGAAATGTTCCCTTGATATCTCTAATTTTCTTGAAGAAATCTCTAGTCTTTTCCATTCTATTATTTTCCTCTAACCTTCCTGATTCAGCCCCACCTGTTCACCAAGAGGAGACAAGCCTGACAGGTAACAGAGTACATGCTCTGTGAGATCCTGCCCTCTGTCCCTCTCAGAGAAAGGAATCTATGTCTTGGTTCAGAATCTATGTCTTGACTCAGAAGCAGACCTAAGACAAGCATTTAGCAGAAGTAGCTTGTTTGGGAGACAATTCCAGAAAGCTCGAGCAGGGATGTAGAGACATGAGACAGGGCAGGGCCTAAGTCAGAAGAGTACGTTCAATGAAGAGGTCATTGAAGTGCATGGCTGAGACTGAAGCCAGCTGGGGACCTCAGACAGAGGTGTGACACATCTGGTAGTGGGATACCCAAGGAGGGAGAAAGAGGAGATGTTTTTCCATCAAGTTCCCCCAATGGTTAGTTGAAGATGCTCCCTGGATTCAAACTTCCCAGGGCTTCCATCTGCCCCAGAGCAAAGGTCAGCTAGAAAATGGGGAGTGGGCAGGACATGGGCAGTGTCTGAACATTGAGGCAAACAGTGATGTGATCTGTGTGTCACTCTGTGTGTCTCACACCCTCATGGAGAAATCTCCAACCCCAATGAGCAGGATGCTTGTGTTTAATGGTGCAGATTTTTATATCATGTGATCCGTAAGCACAAACCTACCACTGAAATCTGGGACCAGGTAAAGAAACAGAGATGTGTCTCAACGCAACAAGAAAAGGCACCCAAAAAAGGGTGGGATTCTCTAGAGTTATGTTTGTCAAGAGCAGGTGGAACATTCTGGGTACTGAAACTTCAGGCTTAACCCTGAGACTGAACTGTGTCTCTGTGAGTGTTTAACAAGGTGGGAAGCCTGGCCCCTCATGGACTGTCAGCTCCGTGTGAGCTGGACCAGCATTCCCACCAACACTGCACACACAGCAGGTCTCCTTTCATCCTACTGGATGTTGGAAGAGGAGGGCAGGGGCGGGTGAAGGGCTTGGGAGGGACCCGAGGGTGAAGACGCTGTCCTGGAGCTCCTGGGGCTGCTGCCTCCCCTGTGCCCTTCTGGAAGGAACAGGGGCCTCATGTTTCTCTGTGTTCACACATACATACACACACACATAGACAAACACGCAGACACACACAGAATCATAGACACACACGTACATAGACACACACACACACAGAGGCACACACACACAGAGTAGGACTCTGAGAGTTAAGGACTCAGTCTCAATAAGTGGGAAGAGGCAAGAAAGTAGAAATTAAAGCCTGGAGGAAGTTGTTTTCACAAGAATTTATTTTTTACCATCCAGAAGTCTAAGCCAAAACAAATCAGACCCTTAGGACTCTTCTGTGGACTCAGGATTCATCAAAATTCTTTAACGGGTATGATGGCAGCCAATCCTTCACCATTTCCCAGGAAACCTTGGAATGGGAGATGTCAGCAGGAATGGATGTGGACTTAGCATTGGTCTTGGACACAGCGCTAAACTTGACCTTGGCCTTCACAGTGATTATCACAATGGTTTTGGCCATGGCCTTGGCCCTGGCCTTGGCACTGGTAATGGTAATGGCTTTGGCCATGGCCTTTCCCTTCGGAGATGTTGACACTGGGGATGAAATCTCCTGACACTCTGAAGCTGTAAACCATGACAAAACAGATTTGTTGTGGGAACGGGCAAGGGTCAAGACAAGATCTCTCACTTCACACCAGAACAGCCCTCTAACTGGGACACCAAGAGTGTTGGACCCTCTTCACCTTCTGACTGTTATCTTTGAAGCATATGTTTGAATCCCTATATACAGACACTTGTGGAGAAACTGAGGTCCACAGACAACATGGGGCTTCGCAGGGCCACAAGCCCATCCTAGCAAAGCTGGATTAGAGCAGGGATGAAAGATCATTACAGACTTGAGTCAATGCCTCTCAACTTCAGCCCAGTCAGAATTCCTTGGGGGCCTTGTGAAAATACAAATGACTGGACCTCAACCCAGAGTCTGTTTCAGGAGCTCTTGGTGGGACCTGAGAACCTATCTCATGTCAGTTCCTGCTTGAGGACCCCAGTAGAGAACCACTGCTCTAAGGGATGCAGAGCCACGGCTGGAGACCTGGGGTTCGGAGGAACGAGGTGCCAGGGTAGGAGGGCCTGTCTCTGCCCTGGATGGGGCAGCGGGTCATTGGTCCAAAGCATGTTCCACAACCCACCTTGTTAGCATCTGCACAACATAGAAGGGGCCACTCACCTCATTACAGTTTAGGTCAAACTGGTCATTGGACTGGTCCAGGCTGACTGTCCCAACACACTTTTTCACCAGCTGGAAGGGAGCACAAGGTCAAACTGGAAACCCCGGGCCATAATCTCCCAGGCTCACCTCACCACCTACATGCAGGAAGCCTTCCCGAAGTTTCCTGTCCAACTCGCGCTGAGAAGAATTTATCCCAGCCCTCAGCCTCCAGCCCCCAAGCTCACCCCATTCTCCTTGAAGTCACACTGCTCCGGGGGCTGCTGGCTTGTCCTGGGACACACGGTCTCCTTCACCCTGAAGCTCACAGGCTCTCGAGCACTGTGGTCCTCCACCTGGTCAAAGATCAAAATGGGGAGACTGGGCTCGGGCTCAAGTTTCCTTCTCTGATCTGTCTCCCGGCCCCCACCCAGACGGCAGCCTCTCCAGCCCCCTGCGTGTCCAGCCCTGGGCTTCGTGCTGGGAGCCCAGGGGAGAGGACAGAGCCCGTCCCCGGCCTCACGGGCTCACAGAGAGCAGGAGCGGACCGCACGGCAGCGCTGAGGGCAGCGCCTCCCCGCAGAGGGGCTGAGGGAGGTCAGGGCCACCTGCAGGGAGAGCCCTTGTACCTGGAATCTCCAGGCTGACAGAGGCCTCCCTGGCAGGGAGACACCGCGGTGCAGAGGGGCTTCAGCAGGGACGTCCCCTCACAGAGCCTGTGACCCCCTTGATCCCTGGAGCTCACGGAAGTCCTGGGAGCCAGGTGTGCAGGGCGCCTGTTCCCGCAGCAGAGATGCTAAGGCAGGAAGCCTGGGGCTGGCAGGGGACCCAGGTCTGGGAAGGTTTCCTGGAAGATGTGGGAGCCACCTAGAGGGAGAAGTGCCTTCTTGACAGGAGGTGTAGCCTGAGTGAAGGGGGTAACAGTGTGGACAAGGCAGGCAGAAGAATGGCACCTCCCCAGTCCCCTCCCCAACTCACATCCTTGAGAGGCAGGTCTAGCTCCAGGAGGCTGTAGAGATTAGCTTCTGAGGACTGCTCATTGAACTGATCCACAACACGAAGCATGGCCTCCCTGTAGCTGAGGGCCTGGGCACTGGTGAAAGACAGCACTAGTCCCAGCAGCAGTAGCCACAGTGACCACCGTCCCAGGGAGAGGCTGGCCCTCTGGGTCTCCATGTCCCTAGTCAGTCTCCTCACAGCCCAAGGAACATCCTTTTATGCCCAGTCTGGACCTGATACAAAGGATAAACCAGGAGTCTTTCTGACCCACCCCATCCCTGTCCTCCTCCCAGGGTATGAGCTGGACTTGCCACAGTCCTTGTTGTTGCCTCATGGGGCTTCTGGGAAGTGGGCAGGAAGGACCCTGGGCAAGGTGAAGAAATGGTTTCTCCATCTCGCTTGATACCTTGGCCTCTCTGGGGCACATGGGAAGTGTCACAGGAAGGCTTGCTCAGGTGGGCTGTGCCCTGCAAGAGGGAAGGAGTAGACAGTGTCTACATCCGCTCTGACCTCCCTCCACTCCTGCCCAGCTCCTCCCGCAGTCTCCTTTCCTCTCAGTGAAGCCACAAGCCCCAGAGTTCAACTTCTTTGTGTCCAGGATCTTCCCTAACTACTGTCCACCTTCCACACCATCGTCTAGGGCTCCTGCCAGCCACTGATGTGGCCACTGACCAGCTGCCTTGAGGCAGGGGCACCAGGGTCTGGATACTGATCCTCATCATTGTCCACACCCCGGCCCTGCAGTTCTCAGGTGTCAGGGTGCTTCACCCACCCCAACCACAGGCCACCTCAGAGCCTCCTGCTCTCCTCCCATCTCTGCACCTGATGCCTCTGTTTGACCTGCCTTTCACCTTGAGAAGCCTTCCCTGACCTGCAACCACACAAGGAAACTTCTCTTGGCTTGCAGAGACTTCAGGACATCCCTTCTGATTTGACCTCAGTGACTCCCTGCCCAGTGCTCCGGTTGGACACCGATGGGGGTGGGGGGCGGGGGCCCACTGGGAGGACAAGAGAGCACAGCTGGGAGAAACAGTGTGCCCAAGAGACAGAGGAGTCCTGAGACCATGAAGCCCATTCTAATCCATCACCAGCATTAGTAATCCATTCTAATCCTCATGTGCCCAGGAGGCCCGGGGTGGCTCATGCACTCAGTTGCCCTGTGGGACCCTTGGGGGCTTGGTCAGGCTGCCTTGGAAGGTGGCAGCCTGGAAGGACGGGGCTGGTTGCCCACCCTACTCAGCCTTGGAGAAGGAAAGAAAGTGGGGTTTGTGAAACCTGGTTACACAGCCCAGATATTGCCTCAGAGGCACCTTGGTCAAGCTGTATCCTTTTCCCAAGTAAAAGGAGGAAAGGGAGATGATTGCAATAGAAAATAGCTAGCAATACACATGGTTACTGGGTGACTGGAAACCCTGACACCCTCCCTGTGCCTTCCTGCCTGTGCACCTTTGCCTTTGCTCAGACTTCAGACTGAAGTCCCCTCGTCTATCCTCTCTGGATGCAGTGGCATGTCCTCTGCCAGGTTCAAGCTGCACGTCCTGTGATGCCAAGTGTGAGCCTTCCATGCCTCCAGGATCCTGGTTTAGTCCTCACTGCCTGTCAGAACAGAGCTCTTCTCAGGAGAGACACCATACCATTGTCCTCAGCCAGGTTGCCCCCAACTCCACAGCCGGTCTTTGGGAAGTCCACATACACTTTTCACCCCCAACAAACTTGGGTAGGAGCCCTGATCCTGCATCACCCCCTCCTTTTCTCCTGCCAGCCACCCTTCCAGTCCCTGAGACTCTGGGGCAAGTGGAATGCAAACCCAGCTCTAAACAGTACCCTGAACTCTGGGAACACCCACCAGCTCTCTGTGTAGATCAGTTGACAAGGAAAATGAGACCCACAGGTAAATCTTTCAATCAAGGACACCACCAGTCACTAGGAAATGGCAGACCCAGTGGGGGACCCAATCCCTCCACTGACCCAGCATGCTGTCCACCACTCGGGGACCAGTGGAGGGCTATTTGGCCCTCCCTCCTGCCCTCTGCAGGAAACAGGGAAGGTTGCAATGAGCTGTGAGGGTGGACTTGGGTGAGGGCTGAGGGTCAGGATCCTCTCTCTGCTCAGGGTCTACTTCCTCCTTCCCAATGACCACTTCAGGTGAAGCAAGAGATGGGAGGCTAAGTCCTCCTGGAAACTCCTCATCCAGGCTGGAATTTCCCAGGCAGGGGGTTTGATGATGCAGATCAGCTGGTAGGAGGGCAGCAGCATCCCACCTCCAGGAACTGGGGGGGTGGGGTGCATAAAACCAACAGAGGCTGCACCAGCCACACCATAGCCAGAGTACTTGGAGGGCATCAGGATGACTGCTCTGAGTCAGCCTTGAGCCCAATCATTTCAAGGGCCTCAGATGAGCCAAGCTCGGGCTCCAAATCTCACCACCACCAAGCACAGCAAACCTCCTACCAGCTCCTCTCCACAGGATCTGGGGCTGTGTGACAAGGTGACCTGGGCCCGCCTTGGGGCTGAGCGGGAAGGTGCCTGAGCTTTGCAGAAGAGAACCAGGTTCAGGCCAAGCCCCAGGCAGTGAACAGACTGTGGGGCATGGGTACCATTCTTGTGAGTGGGTTTTTACTGGGGACATGGGTGTAGAGAGGGCAGCTGGGTCCCAGACCAGACCTGTCAGCAGAGAGACTGAGTGGGTGTTCTCTCCCCAAACAGGACTCTGGAATCCTCAGGTACATCAGGAAAGCAAATCCTCTTTCATTTTTCTACCAGGACAAAGACTTGCAAACCCTCAAGATCTCAGGATCAGCCTCCTGAGATCACGATCTTCAAACTGGAAGTGAGCTGAGCCCATCCAGACATCAACTTTGGGAGGATGGAGGATGACAGGGCCCTTCACATGAAGCCCACACACTCCTCCCTTTTTCCTGGGTGCCTCTGTGTTCCCTCTCAACTGACTGGCATGCCCTAGTCGAGGTCTTCCATCTGCCCATGGGTGCCCTGGGAAGGTAGAAACAGCCCTTTCAGAAACAAAAGACCTATATATAGAAAACTATAAAACACCAATGAAAGAAATCAAAGATGACACAAATGGAGAAATATACCACATTCACTTATCGGAAGAATCAATATAGTGAAAATGAGTACACTACCCAAAGCAATCTATAGGTTCAATGCAATCCCTATCAAGATACCAACAGTATTTTTCAGAGAACTAGAACAAATAATTTCGCAATTTGTATGGAAATACAAAAAACCTCAAATAGCCAAAGCAATATTGAAAAAGAAGAATGGAACTGGAGGAATCAACCTCCCTGACTTCAGGCTCTACTACAAAGTAACAGTCATCAAGACAGTATGGTACTGGCACAAAGACAGAAACATAGATCAATGGAACAAAATAGAAAGCCCAGAGATAAATCCACGAACCTATCGATACCTTATCTTTGACAAAAAAGGCAAAAATATACAATAGGGAAAAGACAATCTCTTTAACAAGTGGTGCTGGGAAAACTGGTCAACCACTTGTAAAAGAATGAAACTAGAACACTTTTGAACACCATACACAAAAATAAATTCAAAATGGATTAAAGATCTGAGTGTAAGACCAGAAACTATAAAACTCCTAGAGGAAAACATAGGCAAAACACTCTCTGATGTAAATCATAGCAAGATCCTCTATGACCCACCTCCCAGATTAATGGAAATAAAAGCAAAAATAAACAAATGGGACCTAATGAAACTTAAAAGCTTTTGCACAACGAAGGAAAGTATAGGCAAGGTGAAAAGACAGACTTCAGAATGGGGTAAAATAATAGCAAGTGAAGCAACTGACAAAGAATTAATCTCAAAAATATACAAGCAACTCCTGCAGCTCAATTCCAGAAAAATAAGCGACCCAATCAAAAAATGGGCCAAAGAATTAAACAGACATTTCTCCAAAGAAGACATACGGATAGCTAACAAACACATGAAAAGATGCTCAATATCACTCATTATCAGAGAAATGCAAATCAAAACCACAATGAAGTACCTTCTCACACCAGTCAGAATGGCTGCTATCAAAAAGTCTACAAACAGTAAATGCTGGAGAGGGTGTGGAGAAAAAGAAACCCTCTTACACTGTTGGTGGGAATGCAAACTAGGACAGCCACTATGGAGAACAGGGTGGATATTCCTTAAAAAACTGGAAATAGAACTGCCATATGACCCAGCAATCCCACCCCTGGGCATATACACTGAGGAAACCAGAATTGAAAGAGACATGTGTACCCCAGTGTTCATCACAGCCCTGTTTATAATAGCCAGGACATGGAAGCAACCTAGATGACCATCAGCAGACGAATGGATAAGAAAGCTGTGGTACATATACACAAAGGAATATTGCTCAGTTATTAAAAAGAATGCATTTGAATCTGTTTTAATGAGGTGGAAGAAACTGGAGCCTATTACACAGAGTGAAGTAAAAAAAATACCAATATAATATATTAACACATATATATGGAATTTAGAAAGATGGTAACGATGACCCTATATGCGAGATAGTGAAAGAGATGTAAAGAACAGACTTTTGGGCTCAATGGGAGAAGGTGAGGGTGTGTTGATTTGAGAGAATAGCATTGAATCATATGTATTATCATATGTGAAATAGATCGCCAATCCAGGTTGAATGCATGAGACAGAGTGCTCAGAGCTGGTGCACTAGGATGACCCTGGTTCAGGATGGGGGAACACCCATGGCTGATCATGTGAATGTATGGCAAAAACCACTACAATATTGTAAAGTAATTAGCCTCCAATTAAAATAAATAAAAATAAATAAAAGGAAAAAAAAACAGCCCTTCCCGTGGCTCTTCCCAGGTTTTGACATCTAGTGTGCGCTTTGGGAAATAAAGGCATCGCTACTCGGTTTCATCAACAATGGTGGACTCCAGTCAAGTGTTCTGGTACCAACTCTCCTCTCTGCAGTTCTCATTGCCTCAGCAGTACATACAGGATCAGGTGGCATGGAGTTTGGGAGGCATCAACATGCTGGCAGGAACATTCACCGTTTTGAAGCTACCAGGAGCTTAACAAGCAGCTAAAAAAAAATCCTGACCATTTTACAATTGGCTCTGGCAAGCCTGTATCACTGGTACAGACACAACAGAGCCCTAAACTTCCCTGTAGGGTTCCCTCCCACAGTGAGGAGTGATGTAGAGTGAGATGCATGAACTTTCCTGAAATCAGCCCCGCCTACTCACCAAGAGGAGACAAACCTGACAGGTAACAAAGCACACCCTCTGTGAGATCCTGCCCGCTGTCCCTCTTCGAGAAAGGAATCTGTGTCTTAACCCGGAAACAGACCTAAGACAAGTATTAGTGGAAGTAGTTTATTTGGGAGGCAATTCCAAGGAGCTCTAGCAGGGATGTAGAGACGGGAGACAGGGCAGGGCCTGAGTCAGAAGAGTACATTCAATGAAGAGGTTACTGAAGTGCACAGAACCTCAGACAGAGGTGTGATATGTCTGGGAGTGGGCTACCCCGAGGACTAAGGAAGAGGAGGTGTTTTTCCATCAAGTCCCCTCAATGGTTAGTTGAAGCTGCTCCCTGGATTCAAACTCCCCAGTGCTTCCAGTATGCCCCAGGGCAAAGGTCAGCTAAAGAATGGGGAGTGGACAGGACATGAACAGTGTCTGAAACACCAGGGCAAACACATGTGATCTGTGTGTCACTCTGTGTCTCTCACCCTCATGTAGTGCTCTTCACCCCAGTGAGCAGGATGCTTGTATTTAATGGTGCAAATTTTTATACCATGTGATCCGTAAGCACAAACCCACCACTGAAATCTGGGACCAGGTAAGGAAACAGAGATGTGTCTCAATGCAACAGGAAAAGGCAAAAGGAGTGGGCTTTTCCAGAGTTAAATTTGTCAAGGGCAGGTGGAACATTCTGGACATTGAACTTTCCAGCTTAGCACTGAGACTGAACTGTGACTCTGTGAGTGTTTAATCAGGTGAGAAGCCTGGCCCCTCATGGACTGCCAGCTCCATGTGAGCTGGAGGAGCAGCCCCACCAGCACTGCACACACAGCAGGTCTCCGTACGTCCTGCTGGGTGTTGAAAGAGGGCAGGAGCGGGAGGAACCCGAGGGTGGAGACGCTGTCCTGGAGCTCCTGGGCCTGCTGCCTTCCCCCATGTCCTCCTGGAAGGAACAGGGGCCTCATGCTTCTCTGTGTTCACAGGAGTGATCTCACACACACACAGATACACACATGCACATAGACACATACCTATACACAGACACACACAGACACACACGCACAAAGGAGGCCTCTCAGACTTAAGGACTCAGTCTCAGTAAGTGTTAAGAGGTGAGAAAATTGAAACTGAGCATGGGGAAAGTTGTCTTCACAAGAATTTATTTTTCACCGTCTAGAAGTCTAAGTCAAACAAATCAGACCCTTAGGATCCTTCCGTGGACTCAGGATTCATTAAAATTCTTGAATGGGTGTGATGTCGACCAATCCTTCAGTCTTTTCCAGGAAACCTTGGAATGCGAGTTGTCAGGGGGAATGGACGTGAACTCAGCATTGGTCTTGGCCGTGGTGCTAACCTTGACTTTGGCCTCCCCAATGATTATCACAATAGCACTGGAACTGGCCTTGGCCATGGCCGTGGCCGTGGCCGTGGCCGAAAAGGCAATGGCCTTATAATTGGCCTTTGCCCTGGCCGTGGTAATGGCAATGGCCTTATAATTGGCCGTGACAAACGTCGGGTCCGGCGAAATCTCCTGACACTCTGAAGCTGTAAACCATGACAAAACAGATTTGTTGTGAGACTGTGCAAGGGTCAAGACAAGATCCCTCACTTCACGCCTGAACAGCCTTCTAAGTGGGACACCACTAGTGTTGGACCCTGTTCACCCTCTGGCTGTTATCTTTGAAGCATATGGTTGATTCCCTATATACAGCGACTTGTGGAGAAACTGAGGTCCACAGACAGCATGGGGCTTCCCAGGCTCGCAAGCCCATCCTAGCAAAGCTTTATTAGAGCAGGGGATCAGAGATCATTACTAAGTCGGTTCCTCTCAACTTCAGCCCAGTCAGAATCCCCTGGAGGCCTTGTGAAAATACAAATGGCTGGACCCCCCGCACCCAGGTCTGATTCAGGAGCTCTCAGACATGAGAATCTGTCTCATGTCAGTTCCCAGGTGGTGACCATATTAGAGAACCACTGCTGTAAGGGATGCAGAGCCAGGGCTGGAGACCTGGGGCTCAGGGGAGGGAGGGGCTGGGGTAGGAGGGCTTTTTTCTGCCCTGAATGGGGCAGCGGGTCATTGGTCCAAAGCATGTTCCACACACTACCCCCTAGAATACCCCAATCAAGAAGGGGCCACTCACCTCATTACAGTTTAGGTCAAACTGGTCATTGGACTGGTCCAGGGTAATTGTCCCCACACACTGCTTCACCAGCTGGAAGGGGAGTTTCTAGGTCAAACTGGAACCCCCCAGGCCATAACCTCCCTGGCTCACCCTTCCTCCCAGCCCAGGGCTGGAGATCATCCCTGAAGGCCCCTGCTTAGTTCCCTGAGAAGCATTTATCCCAGCCCTCAGCCTCCAGCCCCCAAGCTCACCCCATTCTCCTTGAAGTCACACTGCTCCGGGGGCTGCTGGCTCGTCCTGGGGCACACGGTCTCCTTCACCCTGAAGCTCACAGGCTTTCGAGCACTGTGGTCCTCCACCTGGTCAAAGATCAAAGTGGGGAGACTGGACTCGGGCTCATGTTTCCTTCTCTGACCTGTCTCCCTGCCCCCACCCAGACAGCAACCTCTCCAGCCCCCTGCGTGTCCGGCCCTGGGCTTGGTGCTGGGAGCCCAGGGGAGGGGACAGAGCCCGTCCCCGGCCTCACGGGCTCACAGAGAGCAGGAGCGGACCGCACAGCAAGGCTGAGGGAAATCAGGGCCGCCTGAAGGGAGAGCGCTTGTACCTGGAATCTCCAGGCTGACAGAGGCCTCCCTGGCAGGGAGACACCGTGGTGCAGAGGGGGCTTCAGCAGGGACGTCCCCTCACAGAGCCTGTGACCCTTTCGATCCCTGGAGCTCCCGGAAGTCCTGGGAGCCAGGTGTGCAGGGCGCCTGTTCCCTCAGCAGAGATGCTAAGGCAGGAAGCCTGGGGCTGGGAGGGGACCCAGGTCTGGGAAGGTTTTCTGGAAGAGGTGGGAGCCCACCAAGAGGGCAAAGTGCCTTCCTGACAGGAGGAACAGCCTGAGTGAAGGGGGCAACAGCGTGGCCAAGGCAGGCAGGAGAAGGGCCCAACCACAGTCCCCTCCCCAACTCACGTCCTTGGAAGGTGGGTCTAGCTCCAGGAGGCGGTAGAGATTAGCTTCTGAGGACCGCTCATTAAGCTGACCCACAGCACGAAGCACGGCCTCCCTGTAGCTGAGGGCCTGGGCCCTGGCTGAGGGCAGCACTAGTCCCAGCAGCAGTAGCCACAGTGACCACTGTCCCAGGGAGAGGCTAGGCCTCTGGGTCTCCATGGTCCCCAGTCTGCCTCCTCCCACCTGAGGGACCCTCCTTTTATTTTCAGCCTGGGCCTGATGCAAAGGTTCAACCAGGAACCTTCCCCATCTCTGCCCTCCTCCCAGGGTGTGAGCTGGACTTGCCACAGTCCTTGTTGTTGCCTCATGGGGTTTCTGGGCAGTGGGCAGGGAGGACCCTGGGCAAGGTGAAGAAATGGTTTCTCCATCTCTCTTGATACCTTGGCCTCTCTGGGGCACATGGGAAGTGTCACAGGAAGGCTTGCTCAGGTGGGCTGTGCCCTGCAAGAGGGAAGGAGTAGACAGTGTCTACATCCGCTCTGACCTCCCTCCACTCCTGCCCAGCTCCTCCCGCAGTCTCCTTTCCTCTCAGTGAAGCCACAAGCCCCAGAGTTCAACTTCTTTGTGTCCAGGATCTTCCCTAACTACTGTCCACCTTCCACACCATCGTCTAGGGCTCCTGCCAGCCACTGATGTGGCCACTGACCAGCTGCCTTGAGGCAGGGGCACCAGGGTCTGGATACTGATCCTCATCATTGTCCACACCCCGGCCCTGCAGTTCTCAGGTGTCAGGGTGCTTCACCCACCCCAACCACAGGCCACCTCAGAGCCTCCTGCTCTCCTCCCATCTCTGCACCTGATGCCTCTGTTTGACCTGCCTTTCACCTTGAGAAGCCCTCCCTGACCTGCAACCACACAAGGAAACTTCTCTTGGCTTGCAGAGACTTCAGGACATCCCTTCTGATTTGACCTCAGTGACTCCCTGCCCAGTGCTCCGGTTGGACACCGATGGGGGTGGGGGGCGGGGCCCACTGGGAGGACAAGAGAGCACAGCTGGGAGAAACAGTGTGCCCAAGAGACAGAGGAGTCCTGAGACCATGAAGCCCATTCTAATCCATCACCAGCAGGGAAGCACCATGTGCCCAGGAAGCCTGGGGTGGCTCGTGCACTCAGTTGCCCTGTGGGACCCTTGGGGGCTTGGCCAGGCTGCCTTGGAAAGTAGCAGCCTGGATGGACGGTGCTGGATGCCCTCTCAGTCTTGGAGGAGGAAAGAAAGTTGGGCTTTGTGAAATCTGGTTACACAGCCCAGATATTGTCTCAGAGGCACCTTGGTCAAGCTGTATCCTTTTCCCAAGTAAAAGGAGGAAAGGGAGATGATTGCAATAGAAAATAGCTAGCAATACACATGGTTACTGGGTGACTGGAAACCCTGACACCCTCCCTGTGCCTTCCTGCCTGTGCACCTTTGCCTTTGCTCAGACTTCAGACTGAAGTCCCCTCGTCTATCCTCTCTGGATGCAGTGGCATGTCCTCTGCCAGGTTCAAGCTGCACCTCCTGTGATGCCAAGTGTGAGCCTTCCATGCCTCCAGGATCCTGGTTTAGTCCTCACTGCCTGTCAGAACAGAGCTCTTCTCAGGAGAGACACCATACCATTGTCCTCAGCCAGGTTGCCCCCAACTCCACAGCCGGTCTTTGGGAAGTCCACATACACTTTTCACCCCCAACAAACTTGGGTAGGAGCCCTGATCCTGCATCACCCCCTCCTTTTCTCCTGCCAGCCACCCTTCCAGTCCCTGAGACTCTGGGGCAAGTGGAATGCAAACCCAGCTCTAAACAGTACCCTGAACTCTGGGAACACCCACCAGCTCTCTGTGTAGATCAGTTGACAAGGAAAATGAGACCCACAGGTAAATCTTTCAATCAAGGACACCACCAGTCACTAGGAAATGGCAGACCCAGTGGGGGACCCAATCCCTCCACTGACCCAACATGCTGTCCACCACTCGGGGACCAGTGGAGGGCTATTTGGCCCTCCCTCCTGCCCTCTGCAGGAAACAGGGAAGGTTGCAATGAGCTGTGAGGGTGGACTTGGGTGAGGGCTGAGGGTCAGGATCCTCTCTCTGCTCAGGGTCTACTTCCTCCTTCCCAATGACCACTTCAGGTGAAGCAAGAGATGGGAGGCTAAGTCCTCCTGGAAACTCCTCATCCAGGCTGGGATTTCCCAGGCAGGGGGTTTGATGATGCAGATCAGCTGGTAGGAGGGCAGCAGCATCCCACCTCCAGGAACTGGGGGGGTGGGGTGCATAAAACCAACAGAGGCTGCACCAGCCACACCATAGCCAGAGTACTTGGAGGGCATCAGGATGACTGCTCTGAGTCAGCCTTGAGCCCAATCATTTCAAGGGCCTCAGATGAGCCAAGCTCAGGCTCCAAATCTCACCACCACCAAGCACAGCAAACCTCCTACCAGCTCCTCTCCACAGGATCTGGGGCTGTGTGACAAGGTGACCTGGGCCCGCCTTGGGGCTGAGCGGGAAGGTGCCTGAGCTTTGCAGAAGAGAACCAGGTTCAGGCCAAGCCCCAGGCAGTGAACAGACTGTGGGGCATGGGTACCATTCTTGTGAGTGAGTTTTTACTGGGGACATGGGTGTAGAGAGGGCAGCTGGGTCCCAAGCCAGACCTGTCAGCAAATAGACTGAGGGGATGTTCTCTCCCCAGACAGGACCCTGGATATCTTGGGTACATCAAGAAGGCAAATCCTCCCTCATTCTTATACCAGGACAAAGATTTGCAAACCCTCAGGATCTCAGGGTCAGCCTCCTGGAGACCACGACCTTCAAGCAGGAAGTGAGCTGAACCTGTCTAGACACCAACTTCTGGGAGGATGGAGGAAGACAGGGCCCTTCACAAGAAACCCACCACTCCTCCCCCTTTCCTGGGTGCCTCTGTGTTCCCTTCCCACTGACTGGCATGTTTAGTGGATGTCTTCCATCTGTCCATGAGTGCCCTGGGAAGGTAGAAACACTCCTCCAGCAGCTCCTCCCAGGTTTTGCCATCTACTATGCACTTTGAATACACAGAAGAATACACAGAACTGTACAAAAAAGATCTTCACGACCCAAATAATCACAATGCTGTGATCACTGACCTAGAGTCAGACCAGATAATCACAATGGTGTGATCACTGACCTAGAGCCAGACATTCTGGAATGTGAAATCAAGTGGGCCTTAGAAAGCATCACTATGAGCAAAGCTAGTGGATGTGATGGAATTCTAGTTGAGCTATTTCAAATCCTGAAAGATGATGCTGTGAAAGTGCTGCACTCAATATGCCAGCAAATTTGGAAAACTCAGCAGAGGCCACAGGACTGGAAAAGCTCAGTTTTCATTCCAATCCCTAAGAAAGGCAATCCCAAAGAATGCTCACACTATCGCACAATTGCACTCATCTCACACGCTAGTAAAATAAAGCTCAAAATTCTCCAAGCCAGGCTTCAGCAATACATGAACCGAGAACTTCCAGATGTTCAAGCTGGTTTTAGAAAAGGCAGAGGAACCAGAGATCAAATTGCCAATATCCGCTGGATCATCGAAAAAGCAAGAGAGTTCCAGAAAAACTTCTATTTCTGCTTTATTGACTACGCCAAAGCCTTTGACTGTGTGGACCACAATAAACTGTGGAATTTTCTGAAAGAGATGGGAATACCAGACCACCTGACCTGCCTCTTGAGAAACCTGTATGCAGGTCAGGAAGCAACAGTTAGAACTGGACATGGAACAACAGACTGGTTCCAAATAGGAAAAGGAGTACGTCAAGGCTGTATATTGTCACCCTGCTTATTTAACTTATATGCAGAGTACATCATGAGAAATGCTGGGCTGGAAGAAGCACAAGCTGGAATCAAGATTGCCGGGAGAAATATCAATAACCTCAGATATGCAGATGACACCACCCTTATGGCAGAAAGTGAAGAAGAACTAAAGAGCCTCTTGATGAAAGTGAAAGAGGAGAGTGAAAAAGTTGGCTTAAAGCTCAACATTCAGAAAACTAAGATCATGGCATCTGGTCCCATCACTTCATGGGAAATAGATGGGGAAACAGTGGAAACAGTGTCAGACTTTATTTTTGGGGGCTCCAAAATCACTGCAGATGGTGATTGCAGCCATGAAATTAAAAGACGCTTACTCCTTGGAAGGAAAGTTATGACCAACCTAGACAGCATATTAAAAAGCAGAGACATTACTTTGCCAACAAAGGTCCGTCTAGTCAAGGCTATGGTTTTTCCAGTGGTCATGTATGGATGTGAGAGTTGGACTGTGAAGAAAGCTGAGCGCCGAAAAATTGATGCTTTTTAACTGTGGTGTTGGAGAAGACTCTTGAGAGTCCCTTGGACTGCAAGGAAATCCAACCAGTCCATCCTAAAGGAGGTCAGTCCTGGGTGTTCATTGAAAGGACTGATGCTGAAGCTGAAACTCCAGTACTTTGGCCACCTCATGCAAAGAGTTGACTCATTGGAAAAGACCCTGATGCTGGAAGGGATTGAGGGCAGGAGGAGAAGGGGACGACAGAGGATGAGATGGCTGGATGGCATCACCGACTCGATAGGCATGAGTTTGAGTCAACTCCGGGAGTTGGTGATGGACAGGGAGGCCTGGCATGCTGCGATTCATGGGGTTGCAAAGAGTCGGACACGACTGAGCGATTGAACTGAACTGAACTGATGCACTTTGGAAAGACAGATGGGACCAACTCCTGGGGAGAATGATGGACTGGAAATCAGAATGTAATCTCCTCCATTTCTCATGAATCTACCTTTCCTCTGATCCCAGGTCCAACCTCAATAGATCCAGGTGGCACTTGCTTTTCTTATTTCCAAAAAACAATTTGGAAGCCAGAAAAAATTAAACCAGAAAAAAAGAAAGAAAAAGACAGGACTTCCCTAGTGATGCAGTGGTAAATAATCCACGCATCAATGCAGGAGACACGGTTTCGATCCCTTGTCCAGGAAAATCCCACATGCCGTGGGACAACTAAGCCTGTGGGCCCCAACTCCTGATCCTGTGCTGGAGAGCCCACGTGCTGCAACTAGTGAAGCCTGCATGCCTAGAGCCGGTGCCCTGCAAGGAGAGAAGCCACCTCAATGAGGAGTCTGCATACCACAACTAGAGATTAGCCCCCATTCGCTGCAACTAGACAAAGCTCTAGCCCTGAAGACCCGGCACA